GGTCGTAACTGAAAGCGAAGCGGTAGGCTATTATAAAATTTAAAATGTATATAACATTGGGTTAAATTCACACATAATTAGTTGTTTTGTATGGTTATCTCAAGTTGTTGTTTTTTTTTTAGTAACGATCCTGCAGGTAGGTTTAAATACAGAACTCGCGATAAACATTTAGTCTAGATTGTTAGCATTTGTGACTGACTGAAGCTGCGGCTTATTTGTAACCCATCTTAAAATGTATAACAGTTTTTTTTTTTATTCCAGCCACAATAATTTGTTGTTGTGTTGGGTTATTAGCTACACATTTTTGAGGTAAGAATCCAACAAACGGAGTTAAATACAGAACTCGCGAAGACGAATGTCACTTTAACGCTGGTAACCGAAGCTTCAGCTGGATTGTAACAGGTGCTTCAGCGTGCGGTGCATTATTTTGAATTCTTTAAACGCTGTCAACCCTTTGTTCAGAATCTTGACGGGTCCACACGCCTTTTAAGCCAGTGTACAGTGAAAGTGCAGGCTTATATCGGAGTGACTGTTGCGGGGACAGGGCTCTTGTAGCGAGGCTTTTTCAGCACCACGGGGAGCGACCCTGCCGCTCCTCCAGCCGCCTGCATAATTAATTCGTAAAGAAGTCGCTCAATCCTCCGCCCAGCCGTCACGCCATTGGTTGAGTGCTACTCTACTTCCTGATTTGCTGCTGTCAGTCTAGATCCAAATAGACTGACCAAATAAATAGTAATGTACCTGTACCAGCGTGCACAGGTTGCCAACGAGACTACGTTCCAGCTTTTAAGGTCCTGAAGACTGGGACCAACTGAGTGATTTTGTTTGCGACACAGGCATCAAAAGCCCCACGGATTGTCCGTTTTTTGTTTTGTTTTTTTGTTTTGTTTTTTTTTTACGTTTTGAGATGAATCTGAACTACATTTCTCCGGTCCCCCAGATGCCGGCTCAAAGGTCAACGTCGTTCTTCATTGAAGATATTTTACTACATAAACCTAAACCTTTGCGAGAGGTGTTTCCCTCGCCCTTTTCAAACTCTCTTGCCTCCCGGATGCCTTTTATAGAGTATGGATATCCACTCATGCCTACACCGATACTGGCTCCTCATCCGCATCATCCCCTACACAAACCTGAACACCATCCATACTTTTTCACCTCCGGTAAGTAGCCAACCCTAAAGTCAGGCCTTTACGTGAAGAAATTTGTGCAATTTATATGCATTTAATGGATGTATGCTTACAAAGTGGCGTATTTTTTTGTCTTTGTGGCTATTAATGGAAGATATCAAACAGGCCTACGTTATTCCAGTTAATATTTTAGAAATCATTCCATAAACAACCTTAATATGGGTAAATTGGTACAGTGGAAATAATATGCTGCAAATGTGATAGCCTATGATGTCAATTAACCTAAAATTTGCTTCGTGTGGTCAGTCAAGTTAAGTCAAAATATTATTTAATATTGTTCCATCATTGTGACTATATTGCACGACTGTATTTTTAAGGGTTAGAATTTGTAAATTATCCTTAGTAACCACTTTTTAGCGTGATCTTCATAGAGCATCTCTTGGTAATAATAATAATAATAATAAACTATCGACTATCTGTAACTGGGCCTACTTCATGCTTTATTTTTATTTTTATTAAAATCACCTGTAAATTAAAACAGCATCTGTATTTTTTTCTAATCGATTTTATTATTTACGGAAAACAAAACAAAATAAAACAATCAGCTAGATTAAAACAAGAAATGTTTTTCTTCTGACTTGTACATGTTTTTCGCTTCTCGTTTTGAATTCACCTGCGCTGTTCATTTTAAAACGCGACTGAAATATAAACATGGAAAGTTTTCTGCAAGGCTGCAAGCTTAATCTAAATTCGAACAAAATGTAGGCTATTAATGATTACCATTATGTTTCCATTGCAAAAGGAATGCAGATGCCTGCGTTATTTCAGCATCATCCCGAATTACCAGGGAAGCACTGCAGACGCAGAAAGGCCAGAACAGTGTTCTCAGACTCACAGTTATCCGGACTCGAGAAAAGGTTCGAGATCCAGAGATATCTGTCCACACCTGAGCGCGTGGAGCTGGCTACGGCGCTCAGTCTATCGGAAACACAGGTAATACCGCTAAATATTGTTGAAGAACTTAGATAACATTTTTAAGATCTTACATGTGTTAACAAACCTTTTATGAAAACGAATCAGGAGTTCACAAAGGCTTATCATTCGTTTGCCTTGCGCAGGTAAAGACGTGGTTTCAAAACCGGAGGATGAAGCATAAAAAACAACTGAGGAAAACACAAGACGACCAGAAAAACCCAAATGATGCAGACAGATCGCTGGAGAACACGAGCGAGAGCGAAATGCACGAGAAAAATACAGACGGTAAAAACGGCATGAGTCCGGACAGATACACGCTGGACGACAATGAAGATGATGTCGATATTGAAGATGACATTTGCTCTCCTGAACATTTACTCTAGTATTATCACCCCATGAACAAAAATGTACATATGAATTACAGTCATTTAGATAGGAAATTAATATAGTATAAAATATCGTTTTGTTTTGTTTTTGAGAGCATTGGTCTAATGTTATACTGTTCAAGCGCTTAAGGAAATTCTGGACAGCTGAAGGACTTTAAATGATAGGTGTCTATTCCACATTATTATTATTATTATTATTATAGTCATGGCTTTGTGTCTGACGACTCTGACCATTTTTGTATATGTGGAATGAATGATAGTAATGTACTGACAGTCTGTAAATAGATTTATGATGTACTTGATAAATAATAATTCGAGAGATGTAACAATTTTCATTACAATTGAAGTGTAACATTTGACATTTTCAGCACTTTCGCGGGACGATGATATTGGTTGGCATGTTGTGGACTGAGATATTTATGAACTCAAAAACTGTGACCTGTCATTTGTTGAAACAAATCATGTATATAAACAAATGTACATTGAGTGAATTATCTAAGACGATTCTTAAACGAGCTGCGTCTTTTTTGTGCTTTGAAAGCTTATGAATTCATCATTTCCTCAAATTCATGAAAGCTGCGGGTTATCACAATTTCGAACATTGTTAAAGAAACGAATAATAGTCCCGATTATTACATAACAACAGTATTAACACTAACAATATAGAAGTAATATTAGACTAAATAATAATAAATAGAAATCACATGGAAAAATCTATTGATTTGTCAATAAAAACTAGTACTTGCATCATAGCTACAGATGCACGAATGCTTGAGAATGCATGATTTAGCTCTGCTCCTTGTTTGTCATTTTCCCCCTATTCTTCTTCACTACAACAAACTGGATAAATAGCCTATAAATAAATGGGACTAACTGGATAAATATAAATAAATGGGACTAACTCACTTTAAGGATTAGAATATGAGAATCAGGAATATTAGAATCAAACCTTAGCCTATTCTGAAATCAACCGTGCAGCAAAGATCGGAGTCTGAATGTATGAGCATATTTTCGAAATCGGATGGGTGGAAAATATTATTTATGTGGGAATGGCGTGAGAATATTGGAATTGTTTTTGGACAATCGATAGACACCAATTTGTCTTTTTTAAACTCACATTGTATATATTACTGACTATTACATTATTCCTATGCCATATGTCTATGTTAAATTCAGTTATATAATAGCCTACCTACTGACTCACTTGGCCATTGTTCTGTTAGTGCCGTTTTAGTTTTACCCGACTTACAAAAAGACTTGGCCTGTATTTTATTAGTCTAATAACGGTGTAGTTATTGCAGCTTAGTTAGTTTCAGGGTGAGAATTACTCGATAACTTTTACGCATGTTTGAACGGAATTACCATCAGTAGGGCCTAATTTTTTACCTTTTAGAGTTCCTAGCAAACAATTGTTTTACAAACGGTTTATGTGTTATATTTCTGATGTGTAAATCTATAATAACGTGATAAAAATAAGGCAACAGTAGCCTACTTTTTTTAGGTAGCTACCGTCCGATACAGAGCGAGTGCGCAGCCGTTGTTATGGTTACCATCTATCAAGCGACGATTTCTGTTCTGTTAGCGCACTCTGAAAACTGGTCAACTTTTGTTGTTACTGAAACGTTATTTGAAAACCCTGTTGACACGTGTATATACTTACATAGCTTCAACCTTTTCTGACTTCCGGTGAGAGGGTTTAGTTCATAACTGGAGGCCATAGTCTACTTCACAGCGGTTTTAATAAAATGTAATAAGACTCGTCTAAAAGCATCTTTTGCGACGCACAGGTGTCCTAAAAATAACGATTTTTTGTTATTGGGAAATAATTCTAAACCTGACATTTTTTTAATCAAATATTAATGTTAGCATGCATGTAGCAAGGAGTAGCTCGCATTCATTTGCGGCAACAGCCCCTTTTTTACTCTAACAAGGGTATGTGGCACACTTCCACCCTTTGAAAAGCAATTCATGTCGTTTTCAAAATGTGATTCTGATTTAGCCGCGGAAAATAAAACACTGCAAGAGAGTAGGCCGTGCGGAAGGTGATCAATTAAAAGATTAAGCGTTTTGCAACACATGGACGCATCTGCATGTTGCTCTAATAGCAGAGCCATCAGCTCATTTTCAGGGGCCTGCCGCCTCCTTCAGCACTGTCCACAGATCAAAGCCTGCCTCAGTCTCCCAATCCTTAAAAAGGGATGCTAATTCATCCTCCTTCATGTGCGGTTGAGAGAGACCCCTTCAATTAACTGATTTCAATGGCAGGAAAGAGAGAGAGAGAGAGAGAAAAAAAAGATGCAAAGAGAGTCGGTCTGGAAAGGCAGCATTTCTCATTAATTCAAAAGGTCCAGCATTTATTAGCCTCACCTCTGAGGCTTAAAACTGAAAACACAGAGTATCAAAGCAGACATGATGGGTTAAATAGAGGCTATAATCTAATTAAAATATTACATAGCAGTAAATAGCTCTTTGATAACGATCTAAAGCTTCCATTAAAGAAATAGGTGCTTGAGCTTGTTTTAGGGGGAAAATTATCACTTTAAAATACAGAAAACAAGTTTGTGGGCTCTAATAAGGGAGGCTTCAAAGTGTCATCCTTATTTGACCTATTTTTTTCTCTCGGTGAAAGAAAAGGGCAGGCGAAAGTGGATATAATCAGACTAATTGCCGGGAACTGACAGAAAACGGCACGTTACACTGGGTTAACGGTGCATCCAGGTGTGCTTGAAGAGATTGGCGCGCTTGTGCACAGATCTATGGAAACAAGGGGGAAATAGCTGGATAATGCAAAGCCAAGCAACAAAACCCCACAGCATTCGAGATTTCTTTATATAAAAAAATGATTTTCGAAACGAGTATGCAGTGGATTACGTGCTACGCACCTGTTCCACTTCCAGTGCTTTGCAACTGAGCAGGATTATAATGAGTATTACGCATATATACAGTACACACAAAGTTAAAGCAAGGAAAAATAAGGATTCTATGGAAGTGCAATTGATAAAACTCATGTATGCGTGGTGCTTTTTAGAATTAAATGGCATGAACGGCTCTGAAGCGAGCCACGGCACGTTTCTCTTCCTCGTGCCGTCTCAACATTTCCAGAGTGGCCAGATGGAATGGGTCCATTTCCTGTGGATATTGAGGCCGCGTGCTCACGTTCTGCTCTCTGGTTCTATCCTTTGGCTTTGGAGGGGGTTGGGGCTTTGCAATCGTTTTGGCATATTCTAAAGCCTGGTCAAAAACAAAAAAAGAAAGAAAAATATGATAACATATACACACGTAAACCACTTTGGATGAAAGACATACAATATATGATTTAGAGATTAAGTAAAGCTCATGTTTTCAGAATGAGATTCTCTTACCTTCCTCCTGGGAACGATGTCCTTGTTGTCACTGCCCACTGGGTCCTTGGCCAACAGAGAGGGAATCCTACTTATCTTCTTGTTCTGTTCGCGGATCACATTTGAATACAGCTTCTGTCGTCTAATTTTCTCTGCCTGACAGCAGTGAAAGAAAGAGCAGCAAGATTACAAAAGGGAACTTTAATTACCTAAGCCATTTCTTCCCTGAGGCCCCTCTGTTTCTTTGTACATCCCTTCATGAAGCTACTCAACAGCAGCAAACAAAGCCAAATAAAACTCATCATCCCTTTCAGAATCAGTGTTAACACCTCTCTCAGGCTGTGAGCGGTGCGAAAACAGTTATTTTATGTGAAATGTTTACATCAGCCGAGCTGGAAAAATGTCTCTGTTTGCTTTTTGAGGGCTATGCTCATTAGATTAGTTGGTCCATTTCTATTGTGTTCAGAAACACAAGTCTTTTAAATTCATGAGGAAATGAAAAGAGGGGCTTATTGAGACACAGCCCTCACTTGACAATTGGACGTAGCAATTAGGGATTAGCTAAATCAATATTCAACAAGGAGATCACCAATTATCCATTGAGTCTTTCTCCTAAATCTCCACACACACAAATTATTCTGATTAAACAACATTATTTATGATTATCGTCAGATGCTTAAGTCTTTGTACAATCTGAAGTGAGTATTTACCACAGTTTCTGGTATTGTGTTCGTTGGTCCAAGACCTCCAAGCTTCACCTCCTGTTTCATGTTTTTGTAGTCCTTCAGTGTATAAGCCTGAGAAGACATTTTGTAATGCATATATATTTATTCATTATCCACGTGGATGTTTAAATAGTGAAGATACTGTGAGAAAAACGGTCTTAATCCTAAAGTACCCTCATGCCACAATCCGCAAACAAAAGCACTAATCAGGTCAGGCTCCTTCAGGTTCTCAGGACTCAGCCATTGGTCATGGACACTGCAGGACAGCTGTTTTCCACTCTGATCTGCTTCCCCTTGGTCTGCCACACTAGCTGTTTTACAAATTTATCCCATAATCCTATGAGACATGATGGCGGGCACATCAAGGTGAGGAGAGCAAGCTTCTCCCAGGAAAGCAATTGGTTTTATGGTGTAAGAATCGCATAATCCGGATAGAGCATCAGTGTTCCATGACATAATGACCCTTAAATTGTGACATGTTCATGTAGCACTACGAATTTTACTGATCTAGAAGCCTAATAGCACAGATGCTACAATCATTTAAAGGGATAGTTCACCCAAAAATGAAAACTCTTTAATTATTTAAAGGAATAGTTATATGAATAGGAATAGCAACAAGTCCATAATCCATAATTCCTCCAGTGAAAAGTCCATCCCCTGTTGTCTTCTCACATCAAAATCCATCAACATATTTGTTAAAAACTGTTTTGGACTCTTGTAAATGGTGCTTGATCTGTGCATAAAGCAATATTATGGATAGGGACTCTCAAGGAGGAAAAACCATGCATTAAGAGCTGGGGGTGAAAACTTTTGAACAGAATGGAGATGCGAACATTTTTCTTATTTTGTCTAAATATCATATTTTTTTAATTTAGTACTGCCCGTCAGAGGCTACAGAAGATAGTTACATGTTTCTCAGAAGACAAAATACACGATGCATTAAGAGCCGGAGGGTGTATATTTTTCCTATTTTGTTTAAAGATCATGTTTTTCAATTTATTCAGTAGCTACATGAAATATCTATATGTTCCCTAGGAGACAAAATAAGTACAATTTACCCCAATCATCTAACTCAAAAAGTTTACACCTTCTTAATACGTTTTCACAGACAAGGCTTAAGCCTAGTCCCAGACTAAAATGCATGTCTGAGATGTTTTACCTGAAAGAAACTTGCACTGAAAACATATCTTACATTTTTCCTGAACAGTGTGTAGTTGAGCAGTTGAGTCACAAAACATAAAAACAGTCATGGGTCGTCCAAGTAACAACACACAGTATTAAGATTCAAGGATATGTCTTCTTCTGAACATTTTTTATAAATTCATTTATTTGGCTTGTGGAATATATGTAAACATCTGTTATGTGAAATAGATTATTCAGGACAGTACTAAATCAAAAATAACATGCAATTTTCATGAGCTCTTATTTTGTTAAAATGATTAACATATTTGCATATTCTGCAAGGGGTATGTAAACATATGAGCACAACTGTATATACAGGTATATATATATATATATATATATATATAATTTTTTCCCCCCCTCTATACAGTGACAGTCATAGTTTGATGTTGTTTTGGACCCCACTTCTATTATATGAACAAAAACAGTTCCACAGTAGAAAGTAAGTCATACATGAATGACATGAGGGTAAGTAAGTGATGCCATCATTTTAATTTTTGGGTGAACTTTCCATCACTCCTTCAACTGAACAGACACAACTGTTGAGTAAACATAAATATCCTCTCTGTTTTAATGGCAGCGGTTATTGAGTACATCTGTTCCTGAGAGGGACTTTCCTGCAGAACTCAAGGTGCTAGAGGACAAAGAGGCCATCATTAAATGCAAATCACCATCTTACCAGCCCTGCTCTAATTTAGTACTGCCCGTCAGAGGCTACAGAAGATAGTTACATGTTTCTCAGAAGACAAAATAAGTTAAATTTACCCTGAGCTTCACATTCATTATTCGTTCTTAATGCATGGTTTTTCCTTGAGCATCGGTGAGCATTTGAACCTTCTGTAATAGTTGCATATGAGTCTGGAGTGTCTTCAATTACTTATACAATTAACCTGCTGTCTGAATCGGCCCACACAATAATCGTTACATCTGCAACAAGCCCCATTGAGATACTGGCATGGCAATTTAAAGATGGTTACTAAGTATAAACTGGGTGTTGTAGTTATTATGCTATTTGTTTTGCTATATTGATAATTATTACAAGAATGGGTTTAAATCTGGGGTTTTTAAACTTTTTGATGCCACTTACCAATAAATATGATTCCTTACCAGGTTCTCCCTTAATAAAATTAATATTCAATTATAATTTATTTTATACTGTGAAAAAATCTCTATATTATAAATAACATATTATATTTTACATTTATTTTAAAGACTGAAAACTTGTTTGCAGCCCAGTAGTACCAGGCTGGAACGTAAAAGTCACATACTAGATAAACGATAAACAAACAAACAAACAAACAAAAAACTGAATCTTAACTAAACACACATATACACACCTTATAATTTGATTGTGCCTTCAGCTGTCTCTGTTTTTCCATCTGTGAAAGGTAACCTTCTGAGCTGCTTCTGAGGATTGGATTCAGATGCTGCTCTGATCTATCTGAGCAGAGTTCAGTGTCGCTGCCGTTAGCTCGGGCTATAGGGGGCAGCACTGTGTAAGGACCAGAGATTTGTGTTGGGCGCGCACAGGGTCCCACGCTCTCCTCATCACTGGGCAAAAGCTCAGATGAATAGTGGCTGGCCTCCACTTGAGGAGACGTGGGCAATTTTGGCATTGGTATCCTATGGAAACAAGGAGCATAACATGAATGCCAAGTTTATATTTAACATGTAAAATATGTTTTTTCTAAGAAAGAATAATAAAACATCTAGCCAAAATACTTAATAAGGTTTTCTTTTTAAGAATTCATGGTAATTCTAATGAGGCTTTTTTATTATGTCATCATGACAGCTGTATTACATAATACTGCCCAAAAATATTCATATGAATTTTAATTAAAAAAATGAAAAACATTCTCATTACAGAAATGGTGTATTCAAGTCATTAAATGTATGAATTGCATGTTTTAGAAAATTATCATTAAATGTATGAATTGCATGTTTTAGAAAATTAACAGGTATGGCAAATTATGAGCGTCAATGACCCACAATAAGCTGATTGAAAAGACACACCGCAGCCTTAAAAACAGTATTGTAGTGTGCGAACATACTATAAATGTATACTAAATATTTGCATAAAGTATGTTTCTGGACTTGCCTGAGTCTACTGTGATTCTTGAATGATGCCTTCTCAAATGTATTGGGAGTAGGTTTCCCAGCATGCCTCTGAGGAACACTTTTGTCCACAGTTTGTACCACTCCAGACTTGGGGGCTGGTGAAGATACAAAAGCTTTTGGAGCCAATCCCATCTGCCCTACTGAATTTGGAGGCACATATGGGTAAAATGGATAACCTTGTTGTAAAAAGGGTGGGTTAAACAGATCAGGCCAATCCCCTTGCAGCGCTTGAGAAACAAGAGTAAAAATTGTCTCTTTCTGGGAAAGATTCAGTGGCTGTGCGTGATTAGTAGGTGTGTGGAGGTTTATGTTAAGGTTGACGGTCGGTGGAGCATGAGTGTGAGATGGAAGTCCAGAATGGTGTTGTAGTGGGTCATGGGTGTAAGCTTCCTCAGAGTCCTGCAGTAGAAGATCAGCACTGATGATGTGTCTCTCTGTAAGGGGTTTAAGGTGCGCTTTGGGTTTGGATTCAGGAACTGGAGGCTTGAGCTGATCTGGGTGGTTGCTGGTTCGTTCCCTTCTCTTCGGTTCCTTTTTTTCCTTATGGCTCTGCAGTAAGTAGGAGATAAAAAAAGGAAAATATGACCAAAGCATTTAAGATGTATTCTGTGTTAAAGGGTTACTCCACCATGTCTTTCATACTTTTCTGGGCCTTGACAGTGTTATTTACTTGGCAGTCAGTGAGACAGTCACAAGCCTCCCGGTTTTCATCTAAAAAATCTTAAATTGTGTTCCGAAGACGAACGAAGCTTTTACGGGTTTGGAACGACATGGGGGTAAGTGATTAATGACAAAATTTTCATTTTGGGGTGGAGTAACCCTTTAAGATGACATGAAGCTAAATTCTAGATGTTGTTTTTCAAAGTCTGAAGGCACAAAAGGATGATATTAGCATAAATGAAATAATTTCCCCAAGTATGACGAGGGCTCTTTGGGCAAAACCGATTTGCACAAAATAATGCCCCTTCAAAATTTAATTTAAAATTCAAGTCATGACAAAGATTTTGGAAATAGCGCCCCACGCACTCTAATTGGCTAAAAGAATACATCCCATTGAGCAGAGATATGTTCTTATATAACTGTGGCTTTATGGATAGTTTCATGACCGAGGAGAAATAAAGACAAGAGCATTTATATAATGTTTCTTTGTGGTAAGCCTAGCATTCACGTGGGACGGTTGGACATTATTCTTGTGAGGTCTGAGGCTGTGCCTCAGCATGTAATGCTTCTGATTTAGCCAACACCGTCTTGCACCATTCTTAATGGGAAAATATTTACACTCCTCTGCTTGCTGGCATTAAGGTGACCGTTCAAGTGCTCAAAATAATGATGCTTCTCCATTCCCCCTCTTTCCTCGACACAGGCTCCTTTTCAAGACATTTCAGAGGCTCCATTGTGCCTGAACAACTCTATCAGAAATTGCGTCCATCACAGCAGAAATGAAATCCCGGGTGACAGTGTGCCCACTGTGCAGACATTTTCATCTTGAGAGGAAGCCCTCGCAGACTGTTATGCATTAAGGCAATGGATTGTGCCAAGCAGCCCCACCTACGTCTGCACAGATAGAGATGGATGGAATCAATAAAGTGAGCTCTACCTTCAGTTTTTGTGTTTTTTGGAGCCACATCAGCTCGGGATCCCAGACATTGTCTTGACTCTCCGGGCTATGAGTGTTGATAGTCTCGTAGGAGGTTTGCCTGGGCTGTGAGAAGAGAAGAAAGAAGGGAGAGGGGAGTGAAAGGGTCCACTGCTTGATAAGTCTCCTTTTAACAATTCACCTGTTGCTGTGTCGATGAAATGCTATTATTTCGCCTCACATTTATATTCAACTATTGACCGCAAACAACAGGGGCAAACTGTGCACTGTGAGAGCGAAACAAATACATCCATGAGTATGAGAAGAAATGTCTTGGTGATAAATTATACACTGCGTTTGGCATAAATGTATGCTGACAGCTGCAATAAATCGTCCACCTACTCAAAAAACGGAGCTGACAGACAGGTTTATTTCTAAAATAATTCGTCCCCGAGTGTCTGGCAAGCATACCAATTCAATTGACTTCTTCTGATCAACTTTTTATTCTTAATTACTAACCACTGCTCCTCTGAGCTGACCTACATGTGTCTAGAAGAGTGTTTTATTGATTCTCTTTAAAATGATTCTCTCGAAGCAGTTCGGAGATAAGTGTCTAGATATGGCCACGTTACATCAGTGCACTCTCTCAATTCTTCTTAATGTACCCGTTCAGAGGCGGAATATCTACAGCTAATGCTGTAATGAAAATCATTTAGTAAACTTCTAGTCACTTTGGCAGCTGAGGACAATTCTCGCAGATCGATGGTATTGACAGCTTGTGGCGTCCCTGAATGCATGCGGCTAATTCTGAAAGCGTGAATAGAGGCAGGTCTAAGAGACACATGCAGCAGTGAGTGGATTGAGTTGTAACATATCCATCAATAAACAGGCAGCCATGCTGGTCTATCTATTTAGCGAAAGGCCATGTGCGCAAGGAACTGATTTGTGAACAGCCTTCAACGTTACTGGGCCAGAGACACTGAGTGGACAGTTATTTATCTGTATCTGTATATTTGAGTAAACCAGCGGTCTTCAACTGTGGTTCCAAAAAGATGGATGGATGAATAATGTAGATGGACTGACAGATAGATAGATATATATGTTTAGATTTAAACTTATATATCTATCTATATAAACTTATATAAACTTAAGTATTTAGTTTACTTATTGCATCAATAACATTAATTAACCAAAATGCATTAACTATGTTGAATTTCTTTTCATTTCAATTTAATAAATTAGCAATCCAATTCAAATCCATGTGGAGTTTGGTCAATTCAAATGTAATTCACACTTATTAACTGAAACGATGCTTCATTTGTGAATTTTGTCTAACCCTGGGGCCGTCTGCATAAAAGGTTTAGACTAGTTTTAAAAGTTACTCATATTGTTATTGTTACTGAACGTAAACAGCATATGCTATTCTGTGTCAGCTGCGTCATTTTTTTAATGTTCCGTGTGACACAGCTGACACAGAATAGCATACGCTGTTTACGTTCAGTGGATATTCTCCAAAATGGCACCAGGGTGACGCGGAGGAGACAAATTGTTGAATAAAGTTGTTACTTTTGTTTTCTTTGCATACAAAAAGTATTCTTGTAGCTTCGTAAAATTACGGTTGAACCCCTGATGTCACATGGATTATTTTACCGATCACCTTGCTACGTTTCTGGACCTTGATCATGGTAATTACATTGCTGTCTATGGGAGGGTCAGTGAGCTCTCAGAACTCATCAAAAATATCTTAATTTCTGTTCCAAAGATGAACGGAGGTCTTACGGGTTTAGAACGACATGAGGGTGAGTAATTAATGACAGAATTTTCATTTCTGGGTGAACTAACCCTTTAAGACACAGTAGAGGCTAAGTTTATGCAACTGGCCCCTGATTCTGATAGGGCTGACACTTCATATTTTTTTATAAAGCAATTGGTACTTCAATTTCACGCAGTCCAGAATTGAAAATTGTAAATTTAGAAACTGCACCAAAAACAATAGAAGAGCAAAAGAGCAAACAGGCAATGCGCAGACGTTCATAGTAGCGGTCCTCGTTATAAATTAACATATCTTTTAGAGCAAACCCATATTGTAATACGCCTTGTTTGCTATGCTGCGCGGTTAATAGGAGTCTGCACATCTAAGCTCATTTTCTTGTATCGGGCAAGTATCATTTCAAGTAGAGATTGAGCTCTGCTGTAACAGGTGTGTGAGTAGCAGACATCACAGACCTGCCCTTCATGTCCTCTTAGCCGCAGCAGGCCACAACCTCTGCCCCATCCACGACCACTGCCTTTTGTCCGCCATTTTAATAATCTCAGTCAAATTGAGGAAATGATCAAACAAAATTGCATTTTGAGCTTCATAAGCTGCGTAATATCTATTCTGTTAAATTGGGGCTCGTAATTGCCTCTTGGGCCGAGATGTGGCACAACAAAGTCAGGCGATTGGAGCTTACCATTTTCCTCAAGACTGGGAAACACAGCTTTTGCGATGAAGACTTCAAAGGGCCGCAATTCTTGAATTGCATTTGGTTGCTATTGTGACCGCCCAGGCAATCTTGATTAGGTGTTTACACTGAGGTAGGATATACAGTGGCAGAGAGCCACGGAGCCTTGGTCTAGAGCTATTAAGAGATTGTACATTATGTTCCTGGCTTTGAAGTGAGAGTCTGGGGGATGATGAGGGATTGGGGCTGAGTGCAATGGCAGAAGATTGCACTGCTACTTCTGTCTTTATCAAAGGGGTCTCTGCTGGAGCTCATCATCACTCCCACACACGCCGGTTGGAAGTTGGTGCATTATGAGATTGTGTACATTTAATAACACAGCTAATTATCAGGAGTTAGGGGTTTGAGAAAGAGTAAATAGTGGCTTTTTAAAAGCCCAACAGATGCGCCTCAATAATGATGCCGAAAACTGATGGGAGCTGAGGGGCTTTTTATTCCCTTTGAAGGTAACGGGGCCACAAAATAACAAATAAAAGGGCAAAAGTGCAGGCTGTGTATCAAATTTACCAACAGATGCTTAGCTACATAACGAACATAAGGTATGAGGGTTTTGTGCTCTCTCTCATAATAAGCAAATGACAAAAAAGCAAAACTTTAACCAAGTGGCAGAAGTATTTCGATTGCTCTTTATGTGTTATGTTCTACTGAACAAAAGCCTTGTTGTATGATAGTTTGCCACATGTAACTGATTTCCTGAAGGAATTTAGACAGATTCCAAATATATCATTCTATTCAAACGTAATTTTAAAAATCAACATCAATGTGTTGTGCATTAAAAAAAAAGACATTCTTTTTTGTGCCCAGGTTGGTTTACTGATCATATTTAAATACATTCCACTCATCCTTACCTGGGATAAAAATGGATTTGACATATTTTTCATAAGCAAAAAAAAAAGGCCTAAATATTTGTTTACTCTTGGAATAATACATGGAATCAACCTGTTCATAGATTATCTGTCAGTCCCCTTCAATGGCTTCTAAAAAAATCTATACAGGTTTAAGAGCATTTCTTAATCTTTTAAAAATAATCTTGACTGATATTCACTCTCCTCCAGACTGAAATGGATATTATTATAATATTTTCTTGGGGAAATCCTGGAGTCGCCACTCCATTGGTTTCTTTTTCAAGAGATTAGAAAATAACTCAAATAAAATATGTTTCAATTAACCACCTCTATATATATCCATATTTCTCGGAAAGACAATGCTCTGAATTCATACCAGGGCACTGCTGGCGCATTCGGGGCACCGTCTAAAGCAGGGAGCGCTTTGCTCCGTTTACCGAGTCACAACGCTAACGGCTCTTCGCTATGCTAATGCAGCTGATGTGAGACATTAAGGTGGGACTGGGCTCAGATGGGCTGTGGAAGGTCTTAAATGTAGCAAATACACATGGGCCACAGTGTGCAGACAAGCCAACCCTGCCAATTATACCATGGGCCTGGATGAAAAGATCTCATTAAAATAATTAGAAGAGTGCCTCTTTGTTGTGTGCCTCTGAATAGTACAAGATGCTCTTCACATCCCATGATGCCAAATACGAGGCTGTCTGCATGCATGGCACTTCAGCCAATGAGGGCAAAAGGGCAAGGAATGGCTCTGTAATGATTCCACTGACATGGTCTTGAGAATGTGCCGTGGGTTTGCAGCTGTGATGGGGTCTTTAACATGCAAAGTCTCTCTTGTGCTAATATAAATGTGTCAGAATTAAATCCAATAATAGGAAACACGGACTATTGTTTTCAGCTCATTTCATTCTGAATGCGAGACTTGAGTCTCTTTAAAGACAATGTGTGCGGTAAAGAGGATGTAAATGAAATGAGTAGTTATTAGCTACAATGATATTATGCCAAATATAGCTGCACGCCATTCATTCGCAGGGTTTCATTCTTGAGCATGAAAATATGATGAGAGAGCTGCTTCATTTCAACAATGAAGTCTTTGTCAATGTTCGCCATAACCATTATGACAAATCTATGCATGGGGTTAAGTACCTCTTCAGCGCATCAGCTATCAGCCTGCAAAAAATTAAAACAAACACCTCCCGTTTTTATCTTGAGGCAGATTTTGAGTGGCGGACACAACGGTTAGGCTGGAGATGAAGAAGTGGAGACAGATGCGGTGATCCACACTTCAGATTCCAGCAATCTGTGTTTCAGCAGCGCAGAGAGCTCGTCCATTCATTGGTAACAAAGCAAATGCTTTTTAACAGACTGCTGAATGAGACCTTATTGTGGTAACGTCCTGCAAACTAAAAATCTAATTTCCCCTAAATGAGGGTACTTGTTTGGAAAGTACAAAAATTTGTGGGTATTTCGGCTCAATTAAAATGCAAGCGCAAACATCATTTTCAAAGACTGTCATTATCTATTTGAATGAAAGCTGTCAGTCATCTAGGTTGTTTGCAGAGCAGCTAAACACAAAAAGCTCATAGTCATTTTGTTGGTGATGTATTTAATTTAGTGTTTTCAGGTATTGCCATTGTTTATTCAGTCTATTTTATGAACAGAAGCAAAACCTGAAATACAAAACAGAGGGACATTCAATAGGAATAGGAAAACATTCAATGAATGCTTGCCTGTATTGCCTTTTTAGTCAGTTTAATACATTCTACTTAAATTTCACATGTGAAAAATATAAATGATGTACTTAAATTAAATGACAAATAGTTATGTAGCAGATAACAGACACAACATAAATGGGACAGTTATGATCATGGGCGACATTTGACTCTCGAGTCGGGGGGGGGGCGCAAGAAAAAAAAAGCAAAAAAAAAAAATGTTTTTCGGATGTAGCCTATGAATCAAAACAATGCGCTACCATATTGCAGCGCATTGTGTCAATACAGCGCAGTGAAGAATAACTTAAAGAGGTTGCCTGCATTTACGAAACTGTCGAACTTTGACTCTTGCTGCTGATTTGAATGGCGATGCTTCCCGTTTTAAGTGTCAGTTGGTGGCCTTTAATTTTTAACCAGAAATGTGCGCGCTGCTTTTCTGATGTTCAAGTTTACCACGTCTTTTTCTCGTGTCACTTGAAATGTGTCCGTTTTTAAACGGTGAGGTGAGACACATGAGAAAAAAAATAAACGATCAGTTGTGGGACAGTCATAAATCGCATACTATTCATTTCTGAACTTTCTACCGTCCGTTACTGGAAATTAAATTACTGGTTGATAAGTCCCGATCTCAATAAAGTTTAGGCCTACACACGCTTTTAGTCCGTGAACTGGATCTCACTCAGGACGCGCGCTGTCTGTGGAAGTTTGGCCAGGACCGGTTCCAGAATAGGCCTAAATCACTGAGGCATTTTTGTCCCGTCCATTGTGCACTGATATTTCGAGAATGAATCCAGCATCATTCCCGAAAGTTTTCAACATGTATTTGTCTGAGAAACAAAAGTTTCATTCAAATTCTGAATGGATTATAGCCTAGAAAACACACAAAGCGCGCTCTGATGGTGATCATGTCCTAAAAGACGTGATGATCAATATCATAACAATGTGATAAGCTGATAGGGGCAGTATTGAATTAGTGGTACGTCAATACAGGGGTGTATATGACCTAGTCGAAACCACTGAGGCAAGCAGCTCAGATCATAACTGAGGCTGAGTAGGCGCATGCGCTGCTCGCACTGACAGCACATGTGAGGCAAGCGACGACACATCTAGGTTATAAAACCTCGCGAAAGTGCTGGGGCCCAGGCCCACGAGGACGCGAGTCCGTCGGTTGAGTGGGCCCGAACCCCTATACGACATTTCACGCCCTTGCTTGCCAAAGCAATTGCGTCGACGATCCAGTGTGGCAGCCTTTGTTTGGACACAGGCAGGCCTTTTGTGCGCCCTCCAAAGCATACAAATAGCTGGTCCGAGAGCCTGAACTGTCTACAGCGCTCAGTATAAATGCGCACCACACATACAGGGCACAGCAAAAGTGTATTAAGCGGCACCGGCCCGGCCAGTGTTTCGGGACGGAAAGCAGATAGAGTTATGACCTGTGCTTTAAATGGAGTCGAAAGCACTTTAGGCACATAACCCTTCCTAGGCTTTAAGTTGAGTCTGCAATCACCTGGCCCGAACTCAATACACGAGTTGTCAACTGACAGAGCCTCAAGGTCCCCAACTCGCTTAACAGAGGCCAGTGCGAGCAGGAGCGCTGTCTTGAGAACAGGCTTTTTTTTTTTTTGCTCTTGAAGGAAGGCAAGAATTATTGGTATTGGGTAGTTGAATGGGGTTTCGCCCCGCGACCCGCACCAATTTGTGAAAACTCTCCATTTATGTGCGTAAAGACGTCTAGTGTAAGGAGCCCTAGCCTCAGAGATAGTGATCTCCACCAGTTCTGGGAACCAGCATCTCCACCAGTTCTGGGAACCACGGCTGATTGGGCCATTTCGGTTCCACTAACAGAACAGATTCTCTTTTTTTTCTGATTTTGCAAAGCACGCGAGGCAGAAGTTTCACTGGAGGAAAAGCATACTTGCGTACTTTCGGCCAGCTGTGAGCTAGTGCATCCACTCCCAGGGGAGAGTGTGTCAGTGAATAAAACAGCGGGCAGTGAGTGTTCTCTGCTGATGTGAAGAGATCCACCTCCGCCCTGCCGAATACACTCCAAATCATATTGACTGTCAAAGGATGTAATCTCCACTCCCCGTGGATTACCCCGCCCCTCGACAGTAAATCCACGCCGTAATTCAGGCGTCCGGGACATGTACTGCCCGGATGGAGAGGAGGTGTCGATCTGCCCACAGAAGAAGGTCTCTCACCAGCCGCAGCAGCGGCCGTGAGCTCACGCCCCCTTGGTGATTTATAAATGCTACCACTGTCATGCTGTCCGTCCTGATGAGAACGTGACGGTGGAGCATGTCCGGGAGAAAGCACTCGAGCGCTAGGTGTACAGCACGGAGCTCCAGACAGTTTATGTGCCACAACTTCTCCGTTTCTAACCACGTCCCGAAGGCTGGTCTGCCGCCGCATATGGCTCCTCAGCCCGTGCTCGATGCATCTGTTGAAACAGTCTTTCTCCTGATCACTTGGCCAATAAGAACACCCCGGCGATACAGAGTCATATCGCGCCAAGGGGTCAGCGCATCCCAGCAGTCGCGTGTCACTTTGATGCGCAAGGTCCCCGTGCGCCGTGCGCTCTGTGGCACCCGGCCCTTTAGCCAGAGCTGAAGCGGTCGCATATATAGCGACTGTAGAAGCCGCCCTCGTGGTCTGCTAGGGGCACTGTCTCTACAGCGCGTTTTGCGAGGAGGTTGTGTATTTCCTCTCGCAGAACTGAGGCATTCCGCTACCATACAGTGGACATTAACACACCGTTGAAACGGGGCGGCCTGCAGAATAACTGAAGCATGTAGCCGTTCTTTATTGATTTCATAACCCACTCTGATACCCCTGGCAGTGCCTGCCACGCTTCTGTGAACTGTGACAGCGGGCGAGGCGGACTGCACACCATGAGGGATAACTCGCCGTCGGGGGGCGGGGAGTTTAAGAGAATTGCTTTGATATTGAGGTGAGTTTTGTATGTTTTTCGACTTCATTGCACTGCATAGTTGAACAGTCAAAACACAAACATGACAAATGCTCTCGCCGCCCGCAACAGGCAGGGGAGGCGTGGTGCACACACACAGCAGAGCGAGTAGACTTTTTCAGTGGCTCGTCTTCGGCGCTGGGTGCAGATTTCCTCCTCCGAGAGACAGCATCAAGAACGCGGCTCTGATTCCGGTGCCGGTGGCCTGCTGTCTCTGTCAGGGCGGGGTCTCTGACCCTTTGAGCCCTGACGGCGCTTCGGCCAAGGCTGTCTTGGTCTCACCACCGGCTCATGTTCTCACCGAACTGCAGCAGAAGAGGAGCGGGAACGCACAGTAGAGTTCGCGCCGGCGCGCATTGGCAGGAAGTGGTTAATAGCCTTTGACTGTTTCCGTGAACGTGTCTACCGCTGCTCCGAAGAGACCTGAGGGATTCACGGGAGCGTCCAGAAGGGACGTTTTTTCCGAGTCCTTCAACTCGGTCAGAGTAAGCCACAGGTGACGATCTAGCACCACAAGATTCCCCATGTTGCAGCTGATCGTTCGAGCTGTCACCTTCGTCGCTCTGAGGGCCAGATCCGTGGCGCGTCGGAGCTCTTTGAACACTTCAGGGTCCAGCCCGTCCTCATCCAGAGACTTGAGCAGCTTGGCCTGATACACCTGGAGTATCGCCATCATGTGCAGTGCTGAAGCTGCTTGGCCCGCCGCGGAGAAAGCCTTGCCGGCGAAGTTTGCAATGGAGTAAACTAGTAAACCTAGTTCGCCTATATGTACGCGCCGGTGTTCTGACGATTTGTGCTACCCTGTCAGATTTTGCTACCTCCCATTACACCACTTGGTCAGCGCCGTCCACAGAAGACAGGAGGGAGGATCCTGGGTTGTGCACTCGACTGGTGAGCGGCGCGTTCCACGACTTCGTTATCTCATCGTGCACCTCGGGGAAAAAGGGGCCGGGCCTCCGGCTGAAGGTACCACTCGTCCAGACGGCTTCTGGCCGACTCGGCAGGAGGCGCCCACTCCAAACCGAGCTCATCAACTGCCTTGGACAGGACGCCAAGGAGGTCCCCCGTGTCGCTGCCGTGGGGCGCAGTGTAATCCAGCGGGCTGTTAGACCACTCCTCTCTCGCAGACGCTGCCACCGAAATGGCATCATCTTCATCCTCAGCGTCCTCCATGGCCCCGAAGGACACCACATCTTGAGCGATGGGGGAGAGGCGGAGAACCGCGGTCA